GAGCAGCAGGCTAGCTACAGAAAGGGGGAGAATACCTCTAACAGCATGGTTTTAAACATTAAATCAGATAATACATGTAAAGCCTTTAGGACACTGTCTGGAAGATAAAGAGCACTTAGTAAATGTTTATAGTTAAATATTTCTGTTAAATTTAGGTGGAAAAAAGGGACACACAGATGGTGTGTAACATGGGGGGTTAGGAGGTAACAAATACCTGGGATAATTTTGTACTTTCTGCCTCATAGATGGTCTTGCCTTGCGCACTGCTTTCCTTAAAGTTGTTTTTCGCTAAAGTTGTTTTTGTCAATGGAAACTAATTGTCCATCACATGAGAGTCTTCCCTTTCCTTTGTGGAAGTTTTAATTTGGAAGCCTGGTTGAGACTGTGATGGGCTCCTCTTGTAACCAGCAGGTCCTTTCCGCTGCAGTCTGGTCTGCTTTGCCCTGAAAGAACAGATGCTCCCTGAAGCCTTGGAGAAGACGGGTAATAGATATGATAAAGGCAGAGCACATCCCGCAGATGCATCAGCTCTGCTTCTCCAGGGAGGCCTAGAGGCTTTTCGTGACAATTAATTATTCAGGTTTTTCTCTCTCCCCTCAAATACTTAGCTCCCTGTGTAGCTCAACAGAGACAGACTTCCCTGGGGCATGTGTAACCCTAGTACCTGATGACAGTTGCGAGCTGTTTTCTGTGGTTCTTTGAGTCCTGTGCACTGGGCCGTGGGAGAGATGGCAAAGCATACTAATGCCCCTGCTCCATCTCCTTCTGGGGCAGGATTTTCACCACATACATGGCTTATGTGCTACCAGAGGGTGCTGGGGACTTGCCAAGTCTTGAGCTTTCTTGCCTGCTTGCTCTTGGCTGCATCCCCAGCTGCCAGGGCACCGGGGCTCTGTGCAGTGCCTTTCGGCCCAGTCGCTGCTCTGTGCTGGGCAACCTGCCCTTGTGTAGAGCTGCAAGCATTCACACACCCGTTCAGGATTAGCATGGCCCTTGTTACTGCTCTCTGGGAAACCTTTGGGCCACCGCTGGAGGCAGCATGAGGCTGAGAGCCTTGACAGCTAAGTTTAGGAGACTCCAATGCTCCCTCCCCTGCTTCACACCCTGCCCTCTCCCTTGCCCCTCCCCCACCGGCTGCAGGCTTTTTTGACATCACTGTTCTGCTTTTCTCTTTCCCGTGCACCCACCTGGGTGCCAGCCTGTTTGAGTCACCCTTGAGGACAGTGCAGATGTAAGGACCTGGGCATGTGCCAGCAGGGGGATGGCACCTGGAGTGTTCTTCCTCTGAGACCAGGGCCAGAGGAAAGACACTTAAGTGGATGTCCAAGCTGCACAACTATTGGTGGCAGCCAGCAAAAGAATGCAGAACCACAGAGAGGGCGCTGTGAGGACTTGGACGAGAGTGGCTGCTGACCCTCTTGTGAAATGGGTTCAGCGGAGGACACCCAGCAATCGTGCACAGACCTCAGAGCTGCAGTGAGTGTTGAGCCACTTGCTCTGTGTGCCTCGGGCTGATGACTTTGCCCTCTGTGACTTAACTGTTACTTTTGTAACTTGACTGCCAGCCATGATTGGCTGACACAGGAACACAAAGACACAGGGACACAGCCCTCTGGGTATATGTAGGTGGGCTGCAGGGGGCGTGGCCAGGTGGGCTTCAGGGTGCATGGCCTTGAGGACTGTACCAGACCTCTGGCCCTACTCTCTGGTGCTCATTCCCTTTTGCTGCTTCCTGGTTGCCATGAAGTGACCGACTTTGCTACACCCATCCTTCTGACATGCACCTTGGGGCCAGGCAACCATGCACTGAAACCAGGTGCCCATATGAACTATTTCCCCCTTTAAGTCATATATGTCAGGTGGTTCATCCCACCAATAAAAACCCTGACTTATACATCTTCAGACCATATCCTTGCTTTGATATGTAGATCCCGTATATTGATTTGAATCTTGACAACTCATCATGGTAGCTTAGAGAGCCGACAGAACTCCAGTAAAGATTGTGTCACATTGCTGAAACATAGATTTCCCTCTTCCGTGGTGCCTGCAACTCCAAAGTCATTTGACAGAGACATAGTAGAACAAAAAAAGAGGGCCTAGAATGCATACTCTGCCAGGTCCTTGTTATCGTTGCCTGGACTCCTCACTAATCCTCTCTTTACTTTGCCTTTAGTCAGCCTCCTGCTTGACACTGACATGCCTGTGTAAAAACCTGTATCTCCCATGAAATTGAGCTCAAGTCCTACAGAACCTGGTTTCAATTATTTTCCAGTTGCATCTGTTGTTATGTTTAAGAGTCATCCATCACCGCCTTCCAAATGTGCTTGTTTTTGCATGGTTTTGTGCCTTCATAAATAGCCTCCCTCCTACTGCAGCAGTCCCTCCCACATTAGGGCTTATTCTAAGTGAGATGTTTACCCATCCAGACCCAGTTCACCCACGACCTCCTCCAGGAAGCCTTCTCAGAGGCACTAGAAAGAGTTGCTCCTTCCTTTTTACATGGTAGCAAATCAAAATTGCATCATGCTCATATTTATCTCTCAGGAATTCAGGAATGCATGCTCAACCAGAGGGAGGAAAGGAGACCGAGCAGACAGTTGGACTAATTCTACCTGTCATTCTACTCCATGGCTCTGAGACAACTGGGACCACTTTAGTCACCCTTAGGTTTCAGGAGCCTTTCAACTCCGAAGGCCTCTTATTCAATGAAGGTTTCATTTCTGGGGTGCAGCTTTAGTGTCTATCAAGAAGCAGAGTACTCTGTGGTGCCAGCCCTCGCAGGAGCTGGCTGTTTCATACATATGGTGTCCAGCCAGATTAGCATTTGTGCATCTGGTTGGGTTGCCTTGTTGCAGGTCAGTGCCATCTGTGCTTTGTTGGAAATTAAGGGGACTTCCAGTGGTATTGTCTATAGGTAATGCTTACCCAGTGATAACTCTAGAACCCAGCCCCCTCCTAAGATGTTATTGTGTTGCATCCCTTGTAGGCATATAGCAGATTGAATTTTTTTTATATCTGTGTTTCAAGAAATTCTCATCTGTGGCTTATGGTTAAAATACTGCTACCTTTGGTTGCACAGGTTCGTGTGTGCTGCAAGGAACACAATTCATGCCAGGGTCTGTGTAAACAAACTCCCATAGTTCTCAGTGGTGCCAGCTTCCTTGTCTCTCTAGTACCTTGTATGTATTGATTGCTTAAGGAATAAATGAATGAGAAAGAGATTCAATAATATCTAGCTGTGAGGATTGGGATGAAAATTCAGACAAGTTTTTGTTTGTCTATTATTCTTGTTTTTGTGTTACTAGGGGTTGAGTTTGGAAGACTTTGCACTGCACTACACCTCCTGCATCTTGTTAACCTTTTGTTTTGAGACAGGGCCTCACTAAGTCATTAAGTTGCCCAAACTGGGCCCAGATTTGCAGTCCTCCTTTCTCGGCCTCCAGGAGTGCTGAGATTACAAGTGGGCACCACCATGCCTGGCTCAGATAGGTTTTGATCCAAAAAGATTAAAGCCATGCTAGTGTAGATGCATGTGATAAGATGGATTCATGGGCCCATGGGAAATTGTCTTATTTACCTACACAAGAAAACACTTTGTTTGGGGGCTCACTGAGGCTGTGGTTTCTAAAAGCATATCACACTTCTTAGAAACTATTGTACACTGATCATTGTAGACCTAACACTCCTGGTGGACCTGGGGGACACACAAGGAAAGACATCTAGGTGGTGAAAGAATCCAGTGTTGTCTCCCTGTCACAGTTGACCTAAAGATGTCTTGGTTACATTAGCTTTATCACAGAATATAGATAAAGGCAGACAGAGCATCTTTTGAAATAGGCCACTGTGGAGCCGGCCAAATAGCTCAGTAGATTAAAGCGCCTACAAGCAGGCACAGGGGCCAGGGGTTCGATCTCCGGGCCTGCCATGCCTGCCCCGCCCCCCCCAAGCAATTGAGACTGGGCATGGTGGCACATGCCTGTAATCCAGCTCTTGGGAGGCTGTAAACAGGTGGATCACTATAAGTCTGATCTAATAGTGAGACCCTGAAAACCCTGTAGACCCTTCCCTAAAATACAAGAAAAGAAAAAGAAAAGGAAATAGGCCACTGTGGACAGCCAGCTGTGTCAGCCCATGAGAAAATGCTGCCAAGTCAAACAGCCAGCTTCACACTTGGCATTAGATGCTTCCAGGTGCCCTGCCTGAGTGAGGACATGGGGAGGGCACCCTGCTCATTCAGGATCTGTGGGCTTGTGGATGGACTCACCCAGCAAAGGCAGCCTGACCCAGCAGTCACAGCCTCACTGTGCTTCCCCACTGATACCCTCTATCCCAGTGAGCTGCAGCAGACAGCAAGAACATGACACTTGTCCTTCCCTGGTCTCTCCAGCAATCATAACCAGCCTCCCTCTTCCCAACAGATGGAAGCTGCGTGCATGACAGCCTCACCTGTCAGTTAGCGTGAGCTCCCAGAAGCAAGCATAAGTCTCTGCTCTCCAATGAGGCCTGAGGGGTCCCTGCATGTCCCTTAAATGAATGAGCAAAATAAATCAGTGAGCTGAGCAAGCCAGAGGGTGCAGCAGTGTTGGGACATCAGTGGGGCAAGGCACTGTGCTCCTTTGCAGCAATACTAGGCAACCCACCAGTGATGCTGCAGCAGCTCCTCTCATTGGCTTGTTATCCCCTCCAAAGCCGAGGCTGGGCTCCCTGTGGTCTAATGGAAAGTGCACTGGAACTGAGGAAATGCAGAGCCAATACTTTGCTAACACTGCAGTGTGGGAACCGGTTCTGGCAGTAGCTCCGTCCTCTCTGGATGTTCATGCAACCATTGTAGTTTCTATACATAAGCTTGAAACCAGAAAATCCCAGGTCATGGATTGAGTCCAGTTAGAACTTGGCTTTCTTCCTGCTAAATACATGTCATCATTGGTCATCTTCATGAAATAATCACCATTTTATCTGCCCACTTGTTCAATTTGTTTATTGTTCATTCTGTGCCCCAGGTGAGCTTTCCCTAGAAGAGGCCCAGGACCCTTTCCTGGTAAGCATCCACATCATCGCAGACCCAGGCCAAGCCCAGCCACTGCAGGAGGCCATCGACAAGGTCTTGGCTTGGGTCCACCCCGACCTCCCGCTGTTCCGTGTGTCAGAGAGGCGAGCTGGCCGAAGACGGCGCAAGGCCCCCAGAGGAGCACAGCCAGCCCTGGCCGTGGTGCTGTTCCTGCAGGAGGAATATGGTGAGGAGCAGATCCTCCAGCTGCACCGCACGCTGCAGCGCCCACCCTGGCGCCACCACCACACAGAGCGCGTGCACGGCCGGTTCCTGCCCTACCTGCCCTGCAGCCAGGACTTCTTCATCCTGGCCCCCGGGACCCCACTGTGGGCCATCCGGCCTGTACACTATGGCAAGGAGATCGTGCGCTTCACCATCTACTGTCGCCATGACAGCTATGCAGACAGCCTGCAGTTCTACGAGCTAATCCTGCGCCGGAGCCCCAGTCAGAGGAAAGCGGACTTCTGCATCTTCCCCATTTTCTCCAATCTGGATGTGGACATCCAGTTTTCCCTGAAAAGACTACCCTGTGACCAGAGCCCAGTGCCCACCGACTCCTCCGTGCTGGAGTTCCGAGTAAAGGACATTGGAGAGCTGGTGCCTCTCCTGCCCAACCCCTGCAGCCCTATCAGTGAGGGGCGCTGGCAGACAGAGGACCATGATGGCAACAAGATCCTTCTGCAGGTACTTAGGCTGTCTGTCTGTCTGTCTGTCTGATGGAAGAAAGGACAGAAGGAAGAAAGGGAGGGAGGGAGAGAAGAAGAGAGGAAGAG